GTGCTTTCAAAACAAATTACTAAAGAGAAATGATGAAGTCATTATTAGCATCAGACATTGACGTCAACATATTTTTAAAAAAATTATCTCAAAGACGTGTCCTACAGTATTGGACTTGCCTGGCAGGCAATCACATCAGAGACAATTAGAAACTGTTGGAAAAAATTAAATAAATTTAATAATCAAGTTGATCTTGATCAAACCACAACACATTCAGATTCAGCTTCAGCTTCAGATAATATCTTCACTGAAGCTGAAATTTCTCATATTTGGGAAATATTGAATGAGCCAGAAATAACTAATGATTCTTTGACTAATTGCTTAGATGTGGACGCTAGAGAAGATATTTGTCAGAATATGACTGATGAAATGATTATCAAATTCATTTGCAGTCACGAAGATTGTCAAGAAGAAACAGATGATGATGAAGAAAGTGCCAGTGGGATAGCTGATACACCACCAACAACCAAAGAAGCAATAACAGCCATGGAAACTGTTATAAAATGGGCTGAATCACAAGAAAATATTAACAGTGTCAGATTGTTGCAATTAGCATCTTTCAAAAGGGAAATGATACAGAAGTTATCAAAAAGCAAAAAGACAAAAATTACTCACTTTTTTAAGTGATGTTTTGTAATTGAAATGATGTCAAATACATAGATTTTAGTCAAGTTACAGATTGTGTTTGTTTTTACATACAGTACTGTATTTTCAAGTGTACCTTATGAATGTAAATAAAATAATGCATACCTCGTATACAGTATGTACTTATTAAGATGTATAACTATGTTATGTGAATTTTAATAAAACACAATAAATCAATTGGTTTTTTTTATTAAAATACATAATATGTATGTAATTGATTGGATGTTTCAGTATATAGCTCAAATCGTTCTGAGTAAATTTATTGTGTCGCCACCAACCGCTTGGTATAACGCGGTTGTTGTTTCCCCTGACATGTGTGTTATATGTCCACTGTATTTGTCTCTGAAGGTCAAGTTTTTTACTTGTATCAGTCTACTGTTTGTTCTACATGCTTTGAATGTAGATGTGCACCTTTGCGCTTGCTATCACTCACACCTCAGTGCCCGGGTGTGGGTGAGTCCTTACATCCTCCTAAAACTATATAACATCAAGTACTCTACAAACAGTCAAGTAAGCTACTCGAAGCTGGCACAGTTGTGTGGGCTAAATTGTTAAACCTGGTAATCTTTTGTGATAGTCTTCTGGCATCCCATTAATTAATTTAACCGAAAAGTACCGATTTTATTTCCATTTTAACAGTTTTCTGCAGGTTATATGTCACTGTAGATTATCTGAATGAAATTACAGTAGTAGTAATTATGAAATTATAAATGACAATTGTAAATAAATATACTTTTTCTTAAAATTTCCTTAAATTTGCTAATATAGCAAAAATTGTTTTCAAAACAGTATATTGATTATTGAACTTGGGAAGATCTAGAGAGAGTTTGGAGTGCTGCACTTACATTTGCTTTAATTTTATTTATATTTAAAATAACTATATTAATGAAATGCAGAAAATTTAGAAAATTTCATTTTTATGGAACTTATTTATAATTAAATTTTTAAAAGTAGATTTCTGTAAACTGTTACTTTTAAAAAACTTAAAAATATACCTCAACAGTTTTATTCATTTCAAAGATTAGAATCTTTGCATATTTATAAAATATAGTTTGCATACTGACATAGTTTAATCTCTAATTTATATTTACAATTTATCAATATAATTAAATTGTATATAATAATTTTTAGATGATGTTTTCCTTGTAATTGTGAATTAACAGGCTCTGATTCTTATGCAGTGTAGTAAAATTATTATTTTAATTTTTATTTATCTATATCTATACTTCTATTATAAAGAGGTAAAGTTTGTAAATTTGGATGTACGAGGTAATCTCCGAAACTTCTCATCTGATTTAAAAAATTCTTTCACCAATATTTAGAATGGAACTTTGGGATGGACATAGGCTGTATATTATTCTGTTAAACATTCATATAAATTAAAAGATATCATCTAGGATTAAGGCTTTTATGTCCAACAGATGGCGCTAACTCTGCTAGTACGACGACTTAAGTTTGCTTTTCTGTGTGGATGAACTAAAGCAGATCATCATCTATCTATCTATATAAACAAAAATGTAATGTTTGTTTGTTTCTACCGATTCCTTTGAAATTTTGACACAACATTGCATTTGAATATGCATGTGTTTTTATATAATATACATGTATATTAAGGCTTACCATGAAGAACTCTGCTTCTATTTATACTGTTTTAGATGCGGTGTTTTGCATTTTTGATTGCATTTTAATAGAGTACGTCAACAGAATATACACTAAGAAGGGATTTTTCAAAAAAGTTATACATCAAATCTTCTTACGCGTATACTGGAGAATGTATAAATTAACACTCCTAAACCTTATAACTCCAGTAATAAACATTTAATAGCAAACTAACGTTTTCAACCATACATTCGGTCTTCTTCAGGTTTAAAAACCAGTCTGCGGACCCATACTCTTATAAGATCGCGGCTTTCCGTGCCCTAATAAAACGGGCTTTCACACACCATACTAAAGCTGAAGACACTGAGAAGGAGTTAGTATGAATCCAGAACATAGCATTACAACACGGATATAGCAGGAGCCTAGTAAACAACCTTTCCAGCGCATACTCCTCTCGAATGGCCGCAAGCTACACTTCTATCACACGGGTAGCGACCCACGGAACGCAAAACATAGGTAGCATACAGCCTTGTGTGGTGGTTGAGTACAACCACCACCTCAACTCCATTTATAGGGAGATTGCCTCCCATACTAATACTAAAATTACATACAAGAGGCCAAGCACGATATATGGACTACTCCGCAGTGGCAAAGACAAGATAAATAGAAAGCAAGCACTGGGTGTTTACATGGTCCCTCTCTGGGATGACAGGTTTCAAAGGGAATTAGTATATATTGGGTCTACAAAGCGCTCATTGAATAAAAGATTGAAGGAGCATGATTATGATATCGTTAATAAAAGGCACACCACCGCCCTGTCAACATTTGCGACTGAACCAGGCATAAGAGCTGACCTACACGAGGCCAAACTGATTAAACTGTCTCACTGTGTAAAACACCTACGAAACCTTGAGGCACTTGAAATTTACAAGGCCTGGTTACGCACCAATTGCATTAACTCTAAGGATGCTAGTAATTTGTCACACGCTTGGAAATACTGCTATGAAGGATCAGGCAATGACCACAATAGTGGTTAGAAGCCACACCCCTATGTCACTATAGGAGCGTATGTAGCACGTTTATGTCATTATATGTAAGTCAACGTATGTAGCACGTATATGTCATTATAGGAACGTATTTTCACATTTAACATGTCATTGACATGGCAATGCACATGCTTAACTTTTTATTCTTTTAAATTATGTTGGTAAAGTTCCATTTTTTGAAAATAATTTCAGAAGTTTTGTTCTATGCATTCACATGTTCGAATATAACTGGTTTTTAAACCTGAAGAAGACCGAATGTACAGTTGAAAACGTCAGTTTGCTATTAAATGTTTATTACTGGAGTTATAAGGTTTAGGAGTGTTAAAGTTATACATTTACAATAGATACATTTTGAGCCACAACAACGTGTTGCAGTGTCTGCTAGTATTTATATATATATAGCTGTATTAAATAAAATCTATATATATATATTTTTTATTTAATACAGCTATATATAAATAAAAATAAAAATTATAATAATAATTTTATGTATAT